CGGCCAGTCAGGAAGTTCTCGATCCACTGAAGAGTAAGGCCGTGTACCACAATGTTTGGCTTTGAGAAGGTGTCGTTTGTGAGAGACCTTGTCAAAGGCCTTAGCAAAGTCTAGTAGGATTACATCATACTGACCCTTGTCTTCCAGTCCTCTAGCAAGGTCATGGATGGTGAGGATCAGTTGTGTCTCACAAGAACGGCGCTTCCGAAAGCCATGCTGATTGTCAGATAGAATGTCATGATGGATGAGGTGGTGGATAACTGCACAGTGAACAACATGCTCACACAGCTTGCATAAGATCGCAGTCAGTGAAATCGGCCTGTAGTTAACCAGGGATGACTTGCAGCCCTTCTTGTAGATGGGAACTACAAGTGCCTTCTTCCACATCGATGGAACGCATCCTTGATGAAGGGAGGCTTGGAAAAGCAGGGTGATCGCAGGGGAAATCTGATCGGCGGTTTCCCTCAACATTCTGGCAGAGATTCCGTCTGGCCCTGTTGCTGTTACTCGACAAAATCAAAATTGTTTTTGCAACCACTGGATTATTATTTGGAATGGACCAGTCATCTGCCAGAGCACAACAATTGTGTTGGATTCAAAGAAGGTTGTACATCATGAATTCTGTCTTAGTACTGTTTATTTGTAGACCGACTTGGCTTGCTGCAGACTCCACTTGTTCTAGGAGCTTCTGTGCCTTTTCCAGATTGTCTGAGTTTAGTGCAATATCATCAGCAAAGTCGGTATCTGTGATCATTTCAGCAGGATATCTGTTACTTTTCCTTTCCTGTAGGGTGAAGCCTAGATCCTCGAACCCTTCAGTAGCCATTCTTAGAGCATAATCCAATGCTATGATGAAAAGGTATGGTGCTAAGGCATCTCCTTGAAGCACTCCTGCTAAGATGGTAAATGAGCCAGTCTCTCCATCTGGTGAACGTACTTGAGCTGTGGTATCTTTGTACATCACTCCTACTGCTGTAACTATTGTGTGTGGTATTCCATAGGCTCTTAAGATGTCATGTCATGTCATGTTCAGCAAGTACTGCCCATTTCTGTTAGTCCTATTGCCAAAAGTAAAACCCTTGCTGTCTATAGAGCTAACCTGGGCATTCATGTCCCCACAGATAATCTTAATGTTGTGCTGAGGGTCTTTTTAATGACATCAGACAGTAAGCTATAGAAATTTACAGCTTCATTGTCTGGGGAGCAGTTGGTTGGACTGTAGCAGGTGATAACAGTGGGAGTAGGATTTCCACTGAACTTGGCTAGAAGTATACGAGGACTCGCCTTTTCACGGTATTCCAGTGACTTATAAGCAAAAGGACTCATCAATATACCGACCCCTCCTACTGTGCTATTCACTGTATTCTTGGTGCCTGAAGACATAGCTAGTACCCAACCTTTGCCCATGTCCTTCATCTGAATATGCACATTTTCATGGTAGATATGATGTTCCTGTATACACAGAATGTCTACTCTCTTTTCTTCAGCTAGTGCTGTTAGTTCTCCCATCTTAATTCTCCTTTGACTTGAGGGACCGGACATTAAAACTCGATATTAGAGTTGCTGCTTTGCAATCTATGATTTTAATTCTAGATTTTGATTTGAAACCAGTATTCAATTTTCCGACCTCAGCCTGGTTTGTCACTGGGGGATGCGGTTCTTGTTCACCCGGGCGACAACCGGGCCGGTATCTGTTTTTGTTGGTTTGTCTCATCAAGTCAGTGTTTCTTAGCTTGCTAATATGAATAAATTCAAAGTATAGCTACAATGGAGGCTCGCAACACCTTCCAATGCCATCTATGCAAGGCAGGGGAGGTGGATTTTCCCTGAGCTAATTAAAAAGGGGTTACCTATATAAAGAGCCGCATACCGGATAACTATGGTTATAAAATGTTAGACAAAAACATTCCTAAGTTCTACCGAGCTATTTTCTTTGACCCCCTAAACATGAATAAGGGCACTAAAATTAACGTTCTATAAGTATCAGATGAGAAATAGTTTTAAACATGCAACATATGGCAGCCAATTTGACTTTAAAAAAAAAAAAAGTTAATTATATGCAAATTTATGCAAATTAAGAGTCAAGGAGTAGTTCTAAGCTGCTGGTAATGCTATAATCATGTTCCTTGACCCCTTAAACATGGATAAGGGCACTAAAATCAACTTTCTATAACTTTTAGATGAGAAATAGTTTTAAACATGCAACATATGGCAGCCAATTTGACTTTAAAAAAAAAAAGAGTTAATTATATGCAAATTTATGCAAATTAAGAGTCAAGGAGTAGTTCTAAGCTGCTGGTAATGCTATAATCATGTTCCTTGACCCCTTAAACATGGATAAGGGCACTATAATCAACTTTCTATAAATATTAGATGAGAAATAGTTATAAACATGCAACATGGCAGCCATTTTGACTTTTAAAAGGGTTAATTATATGCAAATTTATGCAAATTAAGAGTGAAGGAGTAGTTGTAAGCTGCTTATAATGCTATTATCATGTTTCTTGACCCCCCCAAACATTGGTAAAGACACTTCGATTAGTGTTCTATGTGTCTCAGATCTAGAGATATAGGCTAAAATAGGTTTTGTGTGTCTACCAGGGTCTGACATGGCGGCCATTTTGAATTTATGCAAATTAGGCACTGATCCACCACTTCAATTTTTGTCAACTTTGAGTATGTTGTTTTTATGGCTATTCCAGATTATATGCAAGTGGAATCATTTCTGTTGCAATTAGTTCTAGGTTTTTTCATATTTTGACTGTACTAACAGTACTCCTTGCATTACACAATACAGAATAATAATGACTGATATAGGACAGGGCCTTTTGATGAAGCGTACACAATGCTTTCAATTTCTTTATTGATAATCATGATTGTTCAGGATACGCGCCATTGTGACGTAAGACGCGTCATCAATGCATTGCGTTTCTACCTAGAAACCGTTAGGCTCATAATTATGATGCATGGTTTAACATTTATTTTAAAATAAAACAAGGTAACTTGGTAACTTGGATTGGATGTATTTGACGTGGATTCATAATATTATGGTAGGTAAGAGCAACCTCAAAAATTGATAATTTCACAAGTTTGAGTAAAATACAGCGTAGTACAGTCAAACCTGCTTTAGTGACCACCTGTCTACAAGGACCACATTTTTTGTTTCCCTTGAAAATGGTTTCTCATTAAAACATGTATTAAAGGAACCTGTCTATAAAGACCACCTGTCTACAAAGACCACTTTTTGCGTTTCCCTTAGGAGGTCGCTATAGACAGGTTTGACTGTATATGTATTTGGACAGTTCAAAGCTGTAAACATTTAACCATATGACAATGGTAGATAAATTTTGAAGTTTCAAGCAAAATATCGCGTTTTATTATAAAAGAAATGTGAGCTTTTGCATCCGAAAGTATTTTTATGTTTTGGGGTACGTTGTGCTCTTTGTAGACGCTCGTAGAACAAAACTTTGGAATAGAGAATATTCCTCAGAATTATTTATATTAGGCCTAGATTCTATAGTAATATTCTATTCCATATTTTCCATTGAATCGATTTCATAACTACCCCCCCCCCCCCCCCCGAAAAAATAGATGTAATAATAGTGATAAAAGTGGAACTTTATTAGTAGGGTGTCTGAACGATTTTTCAATTTTCAATTTGGGATCGTTTTTCACCATTTTAGTTGGATATTTGAATAAAAAATGTAATCAGAATAATACATTTCAAATTTCAAGACTCACCGATGTTTCTATCAAAAGATACAGCCCCTCAAAAACTCTGCAATATTCATAGCATTTTGGTCAGAATGGACAAAAAAGTGGTTCACGCCGAGTTATCATTTTTTGCTCAACAGCTGCATTTTAATGCATTAGGCTATAGGGTCTATGCAAAAAGTGGGTGAATGGTATTTTCAAACTTAAATCCTACGTGATCCCTTGGGGCTAGCGAGAAGAAAAAAAGAACATCAACGTATTCCTTACGACTTGAACCAATTATCCCTCGGGGGTCGATTCTCAAAAGTTGGAAATCTCCCGAGTTGCCATGGAAACGCATTTAAATCGCTGTTTTGACCAAGATATTTTTAGAAATTTGAAATGACCCCCCTTTGGAAATATGGGAATTAATCTGCCCTTTCATATGACACCTCATTTATTGAGTATCACCTTTAGGATCACAACAGATTAAGGTTTGAATCTAAATTTATTTTTAAAAACTTGACCTATTTTGCAATGCACATAGACTCTATAGCTGTGTGTAATGTCAGTGGGAAGGGTTTTAGCACACAAAACGTGGTGCGCGATCAGACACCCTATTATTTGGTGATGCGCTCGAATTTGATATCTGCATTTCACTTCATTCTTTGCTATTTGAAGAAAAAAATAAAGATGAAAATACAACAAAAGGGTAAAAGTTACTCTTTCAACTCTATCTCTTGCTCCTAATATGAACCTGACGATCAATTATCGATCATTCGGTTCATATTTACCCCCTCCCCCCCCCCCCCCTTAACCTTGCCACTCACTTTTTTTCCCTCCGCGTCTTTTACTCCGCACCTCCACTAATATCGTGATATTCATTATAATGTTTCTCCGTTCATCTCCTTCTGAGAAGCGAACAATAGACTCCCCTCCGGCACAGGGGCGGATCGGGGATTTTGAAAAGAGGGTGGGGCACGATACCAACAAATCTCCGACAAACAAACCAAGAATAAAAATGGCGTTTTACATTTCCATTTTGTGTAACTTCTAAATTACATAGAGGCCATTATTGGGGCACATAAAATTTTAAGCCGGAGCACGGGCCAATCCCCCCCCCCCCACCCTTTCCCCTCCATATCCGCCATTTTTATTCCGGCAATGCATGCAGTCGCACTATCGATCCCCTGAAATACAAAGCGCCACTATATCATTCCAATAATAGCCATGAACTCATTTCGCTTGCATACTCCCTCAAAACAAACACCATTGACCCAACCTTCTACACCAACCGCGCGCAGCGAATTCGATTAGTACTTCATTCATGCATCGTCGAGCACGCATATCGGATCTTTTATTCAATTGATTGTCTGTCGACACCTTTTTGTTCCGTATATGCATTTTGTCCCTTTTTGTAATTCATCTCCTACCCACTATACTACGCGATATACTTGTCAATAGTATACTTCTCTATACGGCTCGTCGTCGCAGTAGTATACGAACGGCCACTTTGAAATCCTTTCATCGGCGACTAGAGATAGACGAGCTTTCGTTTCATTTCGGATATTTTTCAGCTGGAAATTAGGTAAGAAACACTGTTGATGTTGATTTGAAAAGATTTAAATTTGCATCAGTTTTATTTTTTTCTTCTTCTCTATCATACACTGCAAGTTGAGCCCTTCTTAGCAACGCTATGCACCTCTTAATACTAGCACTATCCTCATATTCAGAGGCTGGCGTATAATGTGCATTTTATGCATTTTTGCTCGCATCGACATTTGGATGCAAGCCATTTTCGTCAGCGAGAGTTTTCGTCTGCGACTAGTGTACATAAAGCACTGTACAATTGTATTGTAAAGGAAGAAATAGAATATGTTTACGATGTAAATAGTAACGTTTCGTCTGAGAGTGTGTTTGAATTGAAAAAAGAGTGGAGTGCTTTGGTTACTTTGTTTTTGGTTTCAGTCAGGTATATTTATAGTCGATGACTGTATACTTGCTATACAATAATCAGGAGTGAAACCCACTTTTATATACAGTGTAATAGGCAAAATATGTAAAGCCTTTTGATTATGACCGACACGCCAGGGGAAAGAGAGGGGGAAGGTCGTTTGTGTGGTATTTTTATTCCAACTTTTATTCGTGTAACCTAAACATATTCAGGCACAAACCTATTTGATTTACTTTCCCCTCTCTCTCTCTCTTCTCTCTCTCTCTCTCTCTCTCTCTCTCTCTCTCTCTCTCTCAAACACACACACACATATACAAACACGCTCACTCACATAATTTAACCGAGCATACAAAAAATATCATATAGCTTTAGCCATATTGAACTTTATCATAAACAGATTGTTGGTCGTATATATAACATACGCACATAATATATGAATGAATGAGCGTGTGTGTATGTGTGCGTGTACGTATATGTGTGTAAGGAAATAAACTATTAAACAGCTTTGTCAACTCATTCTAGTCTCTTAGGCGAAAATCATCCAACGATGATGGAAAACGCCATAAAAATCAACAGCAACAATCGTCTTTGCAGTGACCCGAGTTCGATTCCCGGCGTAGATCATTTTTAAACCTTCGTAAACCAAAATGTTAAAAGGGGGGAGGACAGCAATGGGGAACTTTGATTTAAGCTAAGCAACCATATTCTCTCATTTACTTTCGCATTATCATATAAATATCTATATTTATAGTTACAGTACGACCTTTGGTTTCGACTCATAAATGACACCTGATCCCGTTTCCCTTTCGCATAATACATTGATATTCTGAATACTAACGATTATTGTATACGTCGTTCATATAGTTTTACAGGTCAAAAATAAACAGGGGCACCAAAAAGATTACCCCCAAAGTGACGCAGTAGGTGCTGTATACACACTTAGTCATATTGCGTACCAAGCACAAAAGTACACACATTTTATGGCGTTTGCCTGAGAATTGCATTCAATAAAAAATTTCCAGAAGGATGTGGGCACAGTGAACAAATTTTGTTCAAACAATTACTTTTCTTTTTGTGTGACCTCCCGGTTAAAAATAAGTATTACGTGAACTTGCTCCTGTCTTTCATGGGCGTCATTTTCATAGAAATCTTTGAAACCGCACCCTAGGTCACGTGACCGTTTGATGGCATCGACTGGTACAAGTGGCGAAGCTCCAAGAGAGGAGGGGGCGTCATGAAAGGGGGTACGTGCCATGTCATCATAGTAATATAAGTTAATGTAATACTAATGTCGTGTTCATCTTCTCTATCACACCTGTCTTCTCCTTTCGACAAACAAAATAATATGATCGATTGCTATCATTAAGCGATGCCCTCAAGAAATTCGTGTCAATATTTAGTTAAAATAATGTTATTTCAATTGATATTGAGCTTTCGACAGTATTGAAGAGTGTGAGTTAACCGGGTTTTGAAATGGCATTGTGCTTTTTAACATGGCTGTCTCACTCGATTAAATATGTGGTGTCGTTAATTCTCTCTCTCTCTTTCTTCTTCTTTGTCACTCTTTCCAACTTCCATTTCTCTCTCTCTCTCTCTCTCTCTCTCTCTCTCTCTCTCTCTCTCTCTCTCTCTTCCTCTCTCTTCCATCTCTCTTTCTATCATTTTAATGGGAAGGCCTGGGGTGAGCGCTGATTGCCTAGACGGTATTTTTGAAATATTTTCTAATTCAACATTCGCAAAAACACAGACACAAATACACAAAAGAAAGACATATTTCTCTCTTTTTTCCCCCTTTTTTGTTATTGAATGTGTCGCTATCTATTTTCTTGTACATTGTTATGTGGTGATTTCACGTTCAGTATTACAAAATTAAGGGGAAAATGAAATTGGAATGCATCATTATTTGATTTGTTTCAATCGACTTTGTGCTTTGTAATGTTTCGCTTCAGTTCTACATAATGAGGGAGCACAACTGGAAAGCGCCCAAACTATACCCATTTAAATGTGACATAGTTATCTACATCCGGAAAAGGGGATTTAGGTTTGTCTGTTTCTTGGGGGCGTTACCCCCCCCCCCCCCCTTCGATCGGAAAGCCTTGGCCCGCCCCTGCCAACAAACGTTATTTTAGACTATAACTACAACGGCTTACTTCGAATCATCTAGCCATCGCGTCCGGTCGGGTGCTAGCGTTTTGTGAAACGAAAGCGGAAGATGACGCGACCTTTCGTAGATTTGCCGCAGGGTTTCCACGAAGTGTCGGGTAAATTAATCGGCCCAGTCCATTTGTATATGATAGTTTTTTTTTTCACAAACATTACCCCGGATATTCCGTGAATAAAGTGGCATATTTCACAAAAGGTCGGGTAACGCGATCACCCGACAATTCGAAGTTAGCCCACAAAACGGTATCTCTATTAACATTAATTTTGTAAATGACTTCAAAGTTAAAGGTAAAGACCAGTTATGGTCATGCGATTGCATTGTGAAAGAAACGTTGTGGAATCGATCAGAAAAGGTTGATCATCTAGCATCTAGCATCTGCAAGGTTCTGGAATCATCAAAATGATAAGAAATTTGGCCCAGTCTTCGTAAAGTTACAAGCACTATACACAGAAAGATGTATATGGGACTACCCTATATCTCTCACAGACCATGAGAGAAACAAATTTACCAAACATATGAATTAGTAGGCGGTTTCCCGGCAAATTTTTTATCATCATGTATTAGTCAAAACATATTCTTTCACATGATTGGTAATGAGAGCTTCCGTTTCATTTTTTGAAATTGGGGCGTTTCCAATACTGGTCTTTACCTTTAAGACTATTAACGAACCATGCTCCAAAATGTACGAATACAGCACGTCTACTTCAATGTTGGCATGAATGGTTAAAGATAGTGTTTTTTAGTGTGCATATACCGTTGTCTTATACATGATTCATTGATAATCCGTAAATCATGCCGTTCATTATTTTGTGATAGAAATTCCTGTGCGTGCGATGTTGTATCAACTTTTTCTGTTTCAATTTGAGTCTGTAATAAAATACTTTAACCACGTGAGTACCTCAATATAATATTCAAAGTCATTGGATACATTATTGAGGTCGTTAAAGTTCGCATTTCAAAGGAGCTATAGAAAGAGGATGATGCATGCTTTCGAACCGCACCCCAAGCTAGACGTTTTCATAGGAATTTGAGTTTATCTAATTTGAATGCCATTTTCAAGCGATGTTGTATTACCCTTTTTTGTTGCAATTCGAGTCTGTAATAAAATATTTTTACAATATGCGTACCCAAATATGAGACTCAATGCCATTGGATACAGTGATTAAGGTCGTTATATAGTTCGGATTTCATAGGAGCTATATAGAGGATGCTGCCCTCGAACCGCAACCCAAGTAGTGACGCTTTTCAAATAGACATCAACTGGTACCAGCAGCGTAGCTCGGGTGGGGGGGGGGGGGGGGGGGGGGGGGTAGGCATGAAAGGAGGATATGCGCTATATTTTGTTCATAGTAATTTGAGTTAATCTAATTTGAATGCCATTTTCATGCCATGTTGTATTACCTTTTTTGTTGCAATTTGAGTCTGCAATGAGTTTTATAAAATGCGCGTGCCCAGATAATGAGACCTAAATGCCATTCGAAACAGTATAAGGTCCATTTATAGTTCGTATTTCAAAGGAGTCATAAAGACGATGATGCTTTTGCAGTTCGCTCTGTTATTCATGAAAAATTTCAAAATATATATTTTATTTTGGTTGTCTTGTGCATGACTTGCTCTCGAATATTATATTTGATTCCTCGAACCCCCCCCCCCCCCTCTCCCTCTCCTCCCTGTTTACATTCAAGTAAAGAAGGGAGGGGTTTACACTCACTCCGTCATTGGTGGATACAACCTTCCAGCAAGCGAAAGTGATATCGCCATGTTTTCGGAAGGTATTATTTCATATTCTAATAATCTCTCCCGGGCGTCGCGGAATAATAGTCCGATCCTCAGTTAATGAAAACACCACTAGGCAATCAATATCGAAAGGTGCCCGTCCCACTGCTTCCGAAGGATTAAATCAAATTTTGATTGTTTGTCCAATTTAATATGCAAGGTTTTTATTCTTTTGTCGTGAATGTGAAAAACGGTACGGCACTAAAAAGATTACATGAATAATATTATGCGCGTTATTGAAATGTACAGGAAATCTGAAAGGCTGGAATGTGTTGTATACAGTGCGGTGATGTTTCCCGCATTTATTAGAGTGACAAACACTCAATATCAATATATTGTTCAGGTCATCAAACCTCTTCTCTCTCTCTCTCTCTCTCCCTCTCTCTCTCTCTCCCCCTCCTCTAAATGGAGATTAGGAGGGAAAATTCAAATTCAATAATGCTTCGCTACAGGTAGAGCTTTTATCTTATTGTTGTTGTATTGTTCTGTTATTGTTCTTTCATTGCGTATACCGGGTAGCTAATTTTTGTGCCTTAAAAAGAGTACATAATTACCTTTGGCAAAAACTGCGCCCATTTTTGTCTTCCTTCGTTTACCGCGGTTTTCGTTCTGTACTTAACCATCACTTGATGTCGTTTGCAGTGTGATTTATCTGGTTATCCATCACAGCAGAGCTCAAGTGACAGACGCCGAT